GGTGTTTGCATACTCTATCACAGATTAAGTGAATTAAATGCAATATTTGTCAAATACACAGACGTTTCAGAAACGTTTTTATGAGCAACAGAAACACTTTTTATATACTGCTTAATACAGCGCCATCTGTTCAAGAATAAGTAAATAAGTAAATATATACTATTTAAATACTAATAAAGTGGGGGTATATATGCTTTCATGATAAACGTGACTCAATGCGACTACAGGACTACAGTAAAAAAGCTTTTACTGTTCTAAAAACAGATTTATGTGCAGTATTGCATTTGAAGATGTTAGAAACACACGTCATTGTTGTCATGTGGTGAATTTGGCCAATCGCGAAACAGCTGTCTCATCATCAGTGCTCCTGCAGTTGCTCTGAAAAAGCTGCGCCAGCTGAGTCAGCCGGCTGCTCTCGAAACGCTATCGCTGTACTTTGATGCCACACGTGACAGTGACGTGGCGTCGGCGCCTGTTCAAGTCGGACAAAATTTCTAACCGGCATGCACTGCTTCAAGTCAGCCGCCGATCGGTCTGCGCAGTGCTGCATGAAGTCGAACGCACCTGTTGGCATGATTGAGAGCAAACGTGAGAGGTTACGGGCCTACGGCAGGGTGTGGCCAAGTAAAAAATAAAAAATCTCCAAAAAATCGCTAGTTTTATGTAAATATAGCTAAAATAGCTGCTTGTCGCAAAAAAAAAAAAAGTCGCAGCTACAATGAGAAAGTAGCTAAATTTGGCGACAAAATCCCCAAATTGGCAACACTGCTGGCTGGTGTGTGACTGAGTGGAGGCAGGGTGCATTTGCGTATTCATAGATCCGCGTATAGTAAATGAAGCAAGGGTATACAGTTGCATTAAAGCTATTTTAATGTATGAGAAAATTATTTTCACAAGAAAAAACATTTAAATATGTCGTTTTGATGATCAAAGATGAGTTTTATATATTAAATATATTTATATATAATATAAATGATATGAATATAAACATGTCAATATGTATTTATATACACATAATAAATATACACAGAAAACGCACATATATTAAACAAAAACTTTTATTTTGGATGCGATTAATCGTTGTCCAGCACCATTTAAAAATTATTTTGATGTTTTCAAATATAATATATTATTTTATGTATATTACTAATTTATTTACATTATTATTATTTTTAACCTTGCTTAAAGAAATTTGAGACTGTGAAAAGGTCATGTTTCTTTTGACTTGTTTTCTCAGGCATGGCAAGCATTGACAGCAGTGCTCCAGAGACCACCTCAGACAGCTCTCCTACCCTCAGTCGACGTCCACTTCGAGGTGGTTGGACAGCTGCTTCCTGGGGGAGAGGCCAGGACAGTGACAGCATTAGCAGCTCTTCCTCTGATTCACTTGGCTCATCGTCATCTAGCGGCTCGCGCAGAGCTGGAGGAGGAGCCAGAGCCAAGAGTACTGACACCAGCAGGTGAGACAAGCCTTTGCCCTTTTTACCCTCATTGCCCCTTTTGAGGATTTGGTCTCATTTTTTGGGTGCTTGTACATCATTGTCTCTTTTTGAGGCCTCAGCAAACAATTAAATCTCTAATTCAGTAGCAGTTGATTGACTGAATCGGTTGTTTCACTTCAGAGTCAAAACAGATTCTCCGATCCTCTATGTCTACAGTTTGTCACACATTGCCTCTTTCCCTCTTAGGTATAAAGGTCGCCGGCCTGAATGCCATGCTCCACATGTGCCCAACCAGCCATCCGAGGCAGCTGCACATTTTTACTTTGAGCTGGCCAAGACTGTGCTGATTAAAGCTGGTGGAAACAGCTCCACCTCCATTTTCACTCAACCCTCTGCCAGCGGAGGCCATCAGGGGCCCCACCGCAACCTGCATCTATGTGCCTTTGAAATTGGCCTGTATGCCCTCGGCCTGCATAACTTTGTGTCTCCAAACTGGCTGTCAAGGACTTATTCCTCACATGTATCCTGGATTACAGGTGAGAGATGATTACGTAACCACAAACCACAAATGTCAATATGATTTATGACTATCCCCTTGAAATGCAAATGTAAACTTTAAAATTCATAAACCTGGCTTCAGAGTATAAATTCAGAGTGAAAGTGTACTATAATACTGAACTTCAGTATATTAAAAATGTATGGATAAGTAGATATGGGTGGATTGTGATGGTTATATGGATAGATAGACAGATATTGATTTATATGGATAGATATGAATGGCTAGATATGGGTAGATAAATGGAGTGGTCTATAGCTATGGGCGGATGGATATACACTGCTGTTCAAAAGTTTGGGATCAGTAATATTTTTTTTTTGTGTTTTAAAGAAGTCTCTTCTGTTTATCGTGGCTGCTTTTATTTGACCAAAAATACAGAAAAAAAACAGTACTATTGTAAAATATTGTTACCATTTAAAATACTGGTTTTCTGTTTTAATATACTTTAAAATTTAATTTATTAAAATGTAATTCAGCAAAGCTGAATTTTCATCAGCCATTACTCCAGTCTTCAGTATCACATGATCCTTCAGAAATCATTCTAATATGCTGATTTATTATCAATGTTGGAAACAGTTGTGCTGCTTAATATATTTTTTTGAACCTGTGATACTTTTTTCAGGATTATTTTATGAATAAAGTTAAAAAAGAACATTGCTTAATTAAAATAGAAATATTTTCTAACAATGCGAGTCTTTATCACTTTTTATTAATTTAACACATCCTTGCTGAATAAAAGCATTGATTTCTTTAAAAAAAAAAATTACTGACCCCAAATTTTGAACAATAGTATATTGTTGCAAAACGTTTCTATTTTGAATAAATGCTGTTCTTTTTAACATTTTATTCATCAAATAATCCTGAAAAAGTATCGCAGTTTCCAAAAAAAATATGAAGCAGCAAAACTGTTTCCAATATTGATATTAAATATAAAAAAATCTGAAGGATCATGTGACACTGAAGGACTGGAGTTAATGATGCTGAAATTCAGATTTGATCACAGCAATAAATTAAATTTTAAAGTTTATTAAAATAGAAAACCATTATTTTAAATTGCAATAATATTTCACAGTATTACTGTTTTTATCTGTATTTCTGGTCAAATAAATACAGCCATGATGAGCAGAAGAGACTTCTTTAATAAACATTCTTACTGATCCAAAACTTTTGAATGGCAGTGCATGTTGGATAGATGTGTGTATATATAGATGGGTAGATATGGGTAGAAATAGATTTAGATGGATGTATATATATGGTTTGATGTAGGGCTGGATGATATGGCCAAAGTTTATATCAAGATATATTTCTTAATTTCGGTCGATACGATATAATTCCGATATCGACATGAACACTATTTATCTGAAATAGAAATCTTTTGTAACATTATAAATGCCTTTATCACTTTTGATCAATTTTAAGCATCCTTGCTTATTAAAAGTATTAATTTCTTTCCAAAAAAATTTATAAAATTATACTGAATGGAATAGTGTATAATGTTACAAAAGCTTTTTATTTCAGATAAATGCTGATCTTTGGATCTTTCTATTCATCAAAGAATCCTGAAAAAAAATGTACTCAACTGTTTTAAATATTGATAATCAGCATATTAGAATGATTTCTGAAGGATCATGTGACACTGAAGACTGGAGTAATGATGCTGAAAATTTAGCTATGATCACAGGAATAAATTCAATTTTAAAATCTATTAAAATGCAAAGCAATTTTAAATAGTAAAAATATTTCAACATTTTACTGTTTTTGCTGTACTTTGGATCAAATAAATGCAGCCTTGGTGAGCATAAGAGAATTCTTAAAAAAAACAAAAAACATTAAAAATCTTACTGTTCAAAAACTTATGACTGTTCAAAAACTTATGAAACAAATGTGCTTCAGCCGGAAAAAAAGGGTATGAAAAGTTCTCGGAGTCGCTGCAGAAAACAAAAAAACTGAACAACAACAAAAACTAGAAATGTTGCTGGAGTTGGGTTTATTGAAAATGCAAACTCATTCTCTGCCAGCAGGAGGCACTTTTAGAGTGATAAAACTAGCGGTTTCTCCAGTAACGGCTGTAATCATGAATGCTACTTTATCAGATCAAATTACAGGGCTCAATGCTTACTTTTCTTTTTAGGAGCACTTGTGCTCCTAACTTAAAAAATTTAGGAGCATGTTCAAAATTTTAGGAGCAAACCTTCTGATCAGTAATCCAAAATGTTATCAAAAAGTAGCCTTTCCATTATGAGGGGATATTTGACTCCTCTAACTTTATTAAAAAAAAGTATGTCATCTTTTGTCAAATTCCTAAAAAAATTATATTTTATAAGCTTTTTAAAAATTGTAATTAAAACGACAGAATAAGAACAAGTAGAATAAGAAATATAAGTTACCAATCAAATGAAATCAATATTAACAAAATAAATTTGTCGAGGTGGCACAGAAGAACACAAAAGTGACTTGGTGTACTCTCAGACATTTAATGAGGCTTCGAGGTGGCATGAGTGCAATTAAATCCATAAATTCATGATGAGATTAATGTTTTAAATATAACATTTTGAATATAGAAATATTAAATGATTTAAATAACTGAAAAGATACTTTAAAAATGAAACTAAAACTGCCAGCAGGTGGCGGCAAATTACTGATTTTATCACTGAATCATTCATTCGAACAGCTGATTCATTCAGGAATGAAGCAAGTTGAGTGTCTTTATGAATGGGTAATCATGAATCACTGACTCACTAGATTCGTTTAAAAACCCCCGTTCATTCATAAACGAAACACTGCTGTGTTTGAATGGAGATGCGCTGTGTCTGTTTTAAACTATTTTCGACGATGAAATGGAGCAAATTCAGACAATAGTGTTATAGTCAGACAATGCAAGTCACTTAATATTAACTTCTTGTTTATTGAATTGTATTGTATTAAATCAGTATCACATTTACAAACTCCCTTAAAAATCATTAAAAGCTGTCACTCATCTTAGTTCATCGCGAGCTCACATTTATAATCAACGAAGCTCTCTACACTGCGCAATGAATCTCTTATTTACACCCTGTCTACACTTTGCTTATGAAAGGATTCGTGAGATATGTCTGTGATACTACATTACTCGACGCTGCAAAAACACGTAGAAACCGTTGAAGCTCCCCTGAGCGCAATCACAAGTATGATGATGATCAGGTCCGTCGCACTGGTGCTCCTAAAAAATTTTTCATAGTCGCACGCAGTAGTTTTCAGTCGCAAATGCAACTGAAATGGTCGCACTGTAGAGCCCTGAATTAAAATGGCATCAAAACTTTTCTGGAGACAGTCGGTTCCCTTCAGAGATACATTCATATAAAACACCCGCGACGTGTTATGATTTTGTAATGTGCAGTGCTCATGTTTATTCCAGTCTATGGTTTATTCAACTAAACCAAACACCACAAATAAATCATTGTATGGGAAACACTGGTTATATATATATATATATATATATATGTATATGTGTATATATGTATATATATATGTATATGTGTATATATAAATCGGAAATGTGTTTAAACTGACGAGCTGCACAAATATGAACGTGGTTTTGCGCAGCTCGTCAGTGAACAACGGCTCTGTGTAGTTAATGCTGCTCAATGTGAAAGCCCGCAGGTGATGGAGATTTACCGCTGATTACAGAACCGGCTTTACTGATAAGATGCGCGTTAAATATCGCATGCGATTTATCGTGCAGCCCTAGTTTAAAGGCATATCACCGTTATTGAAAAAAAATATATCGCGATACATATTGATATTGAATTATTGTCCAGCCCTAGTTTGATGGATATTTACTGGTTGATGTATATGGTCGGATAGATGAGGATACATAGATATAGGTGGCTAGATACGATAGAATGATAAATGCAGTTAATGCAATATGCTAGAAAATGGGTGGGCAAACCTGCCTTTTGTTTGCTTTTAAATTCTTTTGTCTTGTTTTCACAGGCCAGGCCATGGAGATTGGGAGTGCTGCCCTCAACATCCTGGTGGAATGCTGGGACGGGCACCTCACGCCTCCGGAGGTAGCGTCACTCGCAGACCGCGCATCACGAGCTCGGGATCCCAACATGGTGCGTGCTGCGGCAGAGCTGGCTTTGAGCTGCTTGCCTCACGCTCACGCCCTCAACCCCAACGAGATTCAGAGAGCCCTGGTGCAGTGCAAGGAGCAGGTATTGTCCAGCGCATCCTACATTCATTGCACATAATAATCCATACATTTTTACTCTAAGATATAATAATCATCTGCTTGTTGCCTTTAAAGAACACATTTCTACATTGTTATCTTTTAAGGATAATGTGATGCTGGAGAAAGCTTGCATGGCAGTTGAGGAGGCTGCAAAGGGAGGCGGTGTTTATCCTGAGGTCTTGTTCGAGGTGGCTCACCAGTGGTATTGGCTGTACGAGCAAACAGTGGGTGGAGGCTCTGGGGCCCAGCGAGAGGGGTCCGGCCGCTGTGGGGCCAAGGTTTTTTTTTTTTTTTTTTTTTTTTTCAATAAATCAATATACATTGTAACAGAAAAGTAGTTAACAGCTGCTGCCGAGTATTTCTAATACAACGGCTGAAGGAGTGATGGCAAATTTTACATCTTTCAGTAACCACACCAAAAAAAAGACTGCCTTCTGTCATAGGACATGTCACAGTCTAAGAGACTTGATGTCACAACTTGCTAGTCAAAATGGCCTTTGCATGATAGAATAATCAGTGAAAAAAAATTAGAATTAATCAGGAATCGTTTTAGAATTGGGTTGTGACTCTTTGAATCAAAATTGGATCTAATTGTGAGATTCCCATGATTCCCACTCCTAATTATCAGACACTTTCAGTTGTGGAATAATTAATCTGTTATTATTTACTCATGGGTGGCAAATATTACATGTTCAAATATTACATTTACTCATTTAGCCATCTGAAGATTTTAACCAAAGTGACTTACATAAGCAATTTGTCACAGAAGCAACAATATTCATTAGCTGTTTGATTCTATGTAAGGGTGGTTCTTCACATGTTGAGATCACATGACCAGCTGTAAAATTAATTATATCTCAAAGCTTTTAATATTTGGTATCGATCCACAAAAATTCTAAACCAATGGACCATTTTCATACTGTGATGTGTTTCCACAGTTATTAACATCAAAAATCTACTAACTTTTTTTTTTTTTTTCAATAAATCAATATACATTGTAACAGAAAAGTAGTTAACAGCTGCTGCCGAGTATTTCTAATACAACGGCTGAAGGAGTGATGGCAAATTTTACATCTTTCAGTAACCACACCAAAAAAAAGACTGCCTTCTGTCATAGGACATGTCACAGTCTAAGAGACTTGATGTCACAACTTGCTAGTCAAAATGGCCTTTGCATGATAGAATAATCAGTGAAAAAAAAATTGAATTAATCAGGAATCGTTTTAGAATTGGGTTGTGACTCTTTTAATCGAAATTGGATCTAATTGTGAGATTCCCATGATTCCCACTCCTAATTATCAGACACTTTCAGTTGTGGAATAATTAATCTGTTTTTTATTTACTCATGGGTGGCAAATATTACATGTTCAAATATTACATTTACTCATTTAGCCATCTGAAGATTTTAACCAAAGTGACTTACATAAGCAATTTGTCACAGAAGCAACAATATTCATAGTGTACATTGTACAATGTCAGCTTTGTTAGAAAGGAGGATTATTAAACAAGCTTTTAAAGCAGAGGTGAAATGCAGAAAAGAAGAGATTTTTGTGTGTTTGCAAAGCTGTACAATGACACTGGTAGAGAAAAGACCACACCTCTAGGTGTGAATATATATATATAATTCAAGGCCAGTGAAATTATTTTTTAGTGCACCTTTACTTCAGTGCAGACAAGAGTTCATTACAGTTCTTACCAGTTCACCAGAGATTGTTGGGAAGCCATGCTATCAGACAGTTGGCAAATTGATAGACGGACACCATGAACATCCTCTCATCTTTTTTTTTTTGCCCGGCAGGAGGAGTACACTCAGGCTCCACCATCCAGGCCATACAGGGGACTTCTTTTCCAGGACTCTCGTCCCAGCCCGCCTCACTGGTCAGCGCACCCTTCCCTGTGGAAGACGAGCAGCACAATCAACCAATCAGCCAGCAGGGCCTGCACTACCTCCACTCTGCCTACAGAGTCGGTAAGGACGCATGATTTCTAATTGCATAGACCCTTTAGGGCATGGCTTGCCTGTCCTTATGTTGCTGTTTTGCACCCATTAGGATCCATCTGGTCCTGAATTGTGGTGATTAATTATCAAGAGAGGTGAGGGAGAGATCGGTTGAGTCCATGTTGCAGGACTGACAAAGAACTCTCACAGTGAGAAATATTAATTAAGGCATGATTTCCGTTATATCAGTACTCATAAGTCCTGGAGATTAGGACGTTGGGTGCATGTGCCAATTTAATACATGATCAGTACAGAGTCGTTCAGTACAGAGTGTTAATGGTGAAATCTTCCTGTCCTCATTTAGGCATGCTGGCCTTGGAGATGTTGGGAAGGAGGGCCCACAACGATCATCCAAACAACTTTTCCCGTAGCCCCCCGTACACTGAAGACGTCAAATGGCTGTTGGGCCTGGCTGCGCGTCTTGGTATGCCCACATATCTTTGCAATATATCCTATAGGAAAAACAAATTTTCTAAAGTCCGGTTTCATTTCCTGTTACCTGCTATAATAGCTGGAAGTAGACTGTAAATGATGTGTTGACAGTTTACCTTGCCTTCAGCGGACAAGAGAGGAGAGGTGATTTAACAGCAGAGTCTCCAGCAGAGTTATTGACATCCTGATATCTTTCCTCTAACTCTGAACTTTATCCCATGCTGATCACAGCATGTTGCCAGTTTTCATGGCCCTAAATGTTACAATTGAAAATGTAGAAGTAGACAATATTTTGCCATGTTCAGGTTAGGCATTAGGGTTGTGACGGTGAGTAAATTTTTCCACCAGATAATCAACGTGACAACACCGGTATCACCGCGGGGGCGTTCTTAAAGAGCATGCGAAAGTTAGGCGAATTGTTAATTTTGTTGTGATAGTATGTCCTTTTAGCAGTGGAGGCATTAGCAGAGAATGAAGAGAGAAGTGATCGATATACATTAAGGTCAGTAGGATTTTATGATTTGCGCCATACTCTTTCTGCAGCTCTGAGCTTAGAACAATACACACGGAGAACATCAGATAGCCAAGGGGCAGAAGAGGTGGTACGAGCTGGCCTGGAAGGCAAGGGGCAGACAGTGTCTAAACAAGAAGTAAGAGTGGAGCAGAAAGTATCAGTAGCATGGTTAACATCAAGAGATGATAACTGTTCAGGAGAAGGAAGCAAAGATGAAACCATAGCAGATAGCCGGGAGGGTGAGAGTGAGCGTAGGTTACGTCGAAAGTTGACATGTGGAGGGGTAAGTGTTGTGTCAGGAACCATGTTGAGGTTAAGAGTGAGGAGGAAGTGATCCGAGGTGTGCAGTGGAGTAACCAGTACATGATCAGTGGAGCAGTGTCGTGTGTAAATAAGGTCCAGTTGGTTGCCTGATTTGTGAGTAGCCGTAATTAACACTCGCTTGAGATCAAAAGAGGCAAGCAGAGTGTGGAAGGCATGGCAGTAATGAAATGTTGAACGACATACTGTAAACTGTACTGTAAACTGTAGTTCTAATCAAGTAAACTGATTAGAACTAGAAACTAAACTAAACTCAAAACCCCAGAGTAAGCGCCATGTATTATTTATTTATTAAATACATATTCTTGTATTTATGTATTCATCAGCTTGCAAACTAAATGCATAATGAAATACTGGTTTGAGTTAGTTAAATTGTTTTATCTTGTAGATTAGCTTAAAGCTTCTGCTAAGAAAAGTAAAATTACTCCATAAAAAAATCTGAAACAATGAAACAATATTATAATATTAATTTTCATTGTCACAAATTTGCAGTTGAACATGCGTTTCTACCTTTAAAATCTCTTTCATCCAGCTTTCATCTCTTAAAAGCTCCTTGTTTTTCCACTTCATTCCAACAACAAAAAAAATTATTTGTGATTTTCCATTTAAAGTTTAATATGTTGTTCTTCCTTTAAAACGGTTCTTTTTTCTCATTGAATATAATTGGAAAAAAATATGAGATGGGATGAAACATTTTATTTCAACCGTTTTGATTTGCTTGCAAAACTTTTAACTTTGAAACACATTTTCTCAAGGAAATGCAAAAGTATAAACATTTAGTTTTTTCTTCCATCTAATTTTTTCCCATTACCAGAACTTTTGCGTTCCCCTGAGAAGCTTGTAACAATTTTTATTATGAGTGTTGTGCTGCTTAATATTTTTGTAATAAAATTAATGAATACAATTAAAATTTATAAATTTTTTTCAGGATTCTTTGAATAGAAAGTTCAAAAGAACAGCATTTATGTAAAATAGAAATCTTTGCAGAAACTAAGAAATGTCTTTACAGTTTATCTGGGCAATGTAACAGTTTTGTAAGTAAAAACATTAAAGGGGGCATAACACACACAGTTTCACCCAATCTCATGTTAATCTTGAGTACCTATAAAGTAGTACTGCATCCTTCATATCTCCAAAAAGTCTTTAGTTTTATCATATTTATAAAAGAAAGATACAGCTTTAGTATTCTCTCTGGAAAAAGCCGAACTCCTGGAGGCGCGCCGTGGGCGCAGAACTTTTGCGTTCCCCTGAGAAGCTTGTAACAATTTTTATTATAAGTGTTGTGCTGCTTAATATTTTTGTAATAAAATTAATGAATACAATTAAAATTAATACATTTTTTTCAGGATTCTTTGTTGAATAGAAAGTTCAAAAGAACTTAAAAATAGAAATCTTTGCAGAAACTAAGAAATGTCTTTACAGTTTATCTGGGCAATGTAACAGTTTTGTAAGTAAAAACATTAAAGGGGGCATAACACACACAGTTTCACCCAATCTCATGTTAATCTTGAGTACCTATAAAGTAGTACTGCATCCTTCATATCTCCAAAAAGTCTTTAGTTTTATCATATTTATAAAAGAAAGATACAGCTTTAGTATTCTCTCTGGAAAAAGCCGAACTCCTGGAGGCGCGCCGTGGGCGGAGCTAAAGAGTGACGAGAACTTGAGCACCGAATGCCAACAAAACAGACATTTGATGGCGTTTCACTTACCGTCTGCAGTTCTGAATCATGACCGGCATCTTTTATAGCTGGGACCGCTCCATCTTTCAGTATCAAATGATGTGCAAATCCAGCGTCGAACTGGGCCTTGTTTATAAAACGTTTGTCAACAAACACACTTGTGAAACTCCATTGCTGCCCCGGAAAAACAAACTGTATCCACTGTTTACATACTGCTGGGTTCTTTAGGAAGCTGAACAACGTTATCTTTCCCTTACAACCAAAAACACTTCTTTGGATTGGAGACATTCTTCCCGAGCAAGTCCCGTGCAGCACTGCCGCTGGATGAAGCGCATTGATGGGCGCGATCTTGCTCTCACGCCCCATTCACACGAGGCGTCGGCATCAACGCCTCTCGTTTACTTTGAATGGAGTCACGTCAAGCGTTGCCGAAATGAATTGTGGGTCCGTCGCGTCACGTTGGGTCTGTTGCTCACGGCAGAAGTTCAACTTTTCAAGCGCCAACGTAGGCGACAGCCAATCAGATCGCAACCAAAAACACTTCTTTGGATTGGAGACATTCTTCCCGAGCAAGACCCGTGCAGCACTGCCGCTAGATGAAGCGCATTGATGGGCGCGATCTCGCTCTCACGCCCCATTCACATGAGGCGTCGGCGTCAACGCCTCTCATTTACTTTGAATGGAGTCATGTCAAGCGTTGCCGAAATGAATTGTGGGTCCGTCGCATCACGTTGGGTCTGTTGCTCGCGGCAGAAGTAGAACCTAAAGAGGGGCAAACAGACTAAAGAACTATGGCAGCGGATCTCGTTGGAGATGGCCACTTTCTCACCCTGACTACTCTAGAGACCAGCGGGGACAGAGACGCCCAATCTTCCCCACAGACCACTATCACAGCTCAATCCGACACGCAGCACTCTCCGTTCCCCTTGATAAGAAGTGTAGCCATGACGACTTCCTGTACAAGCCCACTCACATGACCGAACATTTAGTCCTTCAGGCCCTGAAGTCATGAGAAAGTGGTACAGAGATACTGGGGCATGTGAATTACTGTGTCCCTCCTTCGTCGAGTTGTTGATCCCAGTGTTGTGTCTGATCTTATTTTTGTTCTCTTTTTTTTGGTGTGTTCAGTCGAGTAATTTAATGGCTATATCTATGTTTTATCTACGAGTCCTAACATCTTTCATTCACTGATTTCTATGCTTTGTGATCCCCTGAGTTCATTTAGATGGTTAATACGGGGACAAAGGTTTTCACTTGCTATGTTGATGTTTGGTTCACGTTTAAACAAAACCACTAAATGTCAGACTTATTCTGCAACATTCCTCTACCCTGGAGAACAGAGCCTCCATCGGTCATAAAGGATTTCAACGTTGGATAGTGGATGGCATTGTAAACATGAGGAGAATAAAAACACAACTTTAAAAGAATAAAAGAGACATTTATTATGAAACGATAATCAAAGTACGGGTGAGGATTCTTCAATGTTTTTGTTTTTAATATTTTGTATAGTATGGTGTGTCTACAGAGAGCAGGATGAAGAATGGAAGAATGTTATTACTGACTGCTCTGTGAGTTCCTTTTTCTGGTCAGATGTTGGTGGCTTGAGTGCTGGAACAGAGAAGTCTGGCTGGACCAGATTACACAAGCTTTAATTTTTGAAATTCAAGACATCAGCGGTGACTTCAGTCAAAAACAATTCGGGCTTCCTGTCGTTTAAATTGGGTTCTTTTATATTTGAATTCTAGCTGTTTCTGATACCGTTAATAGACTTTGGTATCTGTGCAATTTAATATTTCCGAGGTTTAGTCGAACCACACAATTTCATTTTTCTGTTCTCATTTTAAAATGGGTTAACCGCTCCCCTCCGTCTAACATTAGTTGAGTGGTCTATAAATGCCACTGCCAGATTCCCGTGTTTCCAGCATCGGCCCCAGCTTGGAACTCGCTAGTGGAGAGTGACTGAGTAGAAAATGTACTGTGATATTTTTGTATTCTTCAAGTGTAGCTTGGTTGGGGAAAAAACAAACAAACAAAAAAAATCTATATAAATACATATAAATTGTGCTGATTGCGAGAGGATGTAATCTAGAATAAATGGGGAAAAGAGAAAAACTAAATTGGAACAAAGCAATATTAAAAATGTAGAGTTGACTTAATAAAGATCAATCAAAACACTAAGAGTTTATCTGCGTCTGTTAATGTTGTTCTCACCATTATATACACTACTGTTCAAAAAGTTGGTCTGTTTTTGATAGAAAAACAAGGCTGCATTAAATTGATCAAAAATAGTAAAAACAGTCATTATTATGAAATACATTAAATATTATTAACAATTAAAGTAAGTGTTTTTTTATTTTAATATATTTTAAAATGTCATTTATTCCTGTGATGGCAAAGCTGAATTTTCAGCAGCTATTACTCCAGTCTTCAGTGTCTCATGATCCTTAAGAAATCATTCTAATATGTGACCCTGGAGCACAAAAGCAGTCTCGAGTCGCTGGGGTATGTTTGTAGCAATAGCCAAAAATACATTGTAGGGGTCAAAATTATTATCATTTTTCTTTAATGCCAAAAATCATTAGGACATTAAGTAAAGATCATGTTCCATAAAGATATTTTGTAAATTTCCTACGGTAAATATATCAAAACTTAATTTTTGATTAGTAATATGCATCGCTAAGAACTTCATTTGGACAACATTAAAGGTGATTTTCTCAATATTTTGATTTTTTTTTCACCCTCAGATTCCAGATTTTCAAATAGTTGGATCTCGACCAAATAATGTCCTATCCTAACAAACCATGCCTCAATGGAAAGCTAATTTATTCATATTTCAGATTATGTATAAATCTCAATTTCTAAAAATTGACCTTTACGACTGGTTTTGGGGTCCAGGGTCACATATGCTGATTTGGTGCACATTTTTGAAAACAGCTGTGCTGCTTAATAGCTTTCTGATTTTTTTTTTTTTTTTACAATACATTTAAAATATTAATATTTTGTAAAATTGTCTTTGATGTCATTTTTGATTAATGTATCCTTGCTAAATAAAAGTATTCATTTCTTTCTCTTACTGACCCCAAAGGTTTGAACGGTAGTTTATATCGGTAGCGGGATCAACGGATCTGATCAAATTCTCAAGAAGAGTCAGACATGACCTCGACTTGGAGAGAATCAACGTTGTACCGAGGGGGGTTTCATCGCCTGGGGGCGCTAGAAGGTTAAATATTGAAACTGCTGAAACGTTGTGGTCTATCGGGGATTCCGGTAGGTTTACATGAGGAACTGACATTCTTTGCTTATTCAATCACGCAGTTCGTTTAGGTGCCAAATGACACTTGCACATGCTTTATGTGTTAATGCTACACTATACATTTAAGCTTATGTTAAGCAGTTTACTCGAATCACTTCAGGTAGGACGTGCTTTAAAAACAAATGTGTCAAGAAAGATAATACACGATACTCTCTCACCGGTCCTTGTTTGGGCTCCTACCTGAAAACTAAAAAATCCGCTCGGAGGTGCACTCTTCGAAACAAGTCTTTCGAAATTGACCACAGTGCGGGGGTTTTAATTCAACAGATGTATCCCTTATAGTATTTTAACATCTATTTTGTTCTAATAACTCCACATTTTCAGTTAAAAGCTTTCAACACATCCACCTTAAGCTTCACCTTTTAAAATGCTTTCGGACAGTGTCATGTGAAATAGTGAGCAGCGGGAGGTTCCCCCCCCATCGGGCGGACTGATTTGGTTTGTTCCAGAGTTTTCTGTAGGTAGAGCGTCTAGAGCCGACACGCAGCATCACAGCCGAGTGAAGATGGCGGCTCAGAGAGTGATGCTGTCAACGAGAGTTTGAGTTCACCTCTCATTTTTAAACTTCTTAAACCTTTGAGGATCCCTTACGGATAGCTGTGTCAAAGAAAACTATATCGGTGAGTCGTGGTTTGTGTTTTCTTCAAAATAACCGCGGTCTTGCCTCTTCGGAACTGAAGAAATGCTACGGCTAGCCGCGCTAACCTCGTTCTGAAGAAAATCAGAGGAGCGACTTCTCAACATGTTTTACATTTGAAACCCATTTTAGTTTACGCTGCTGTATTAAAAAAAAAAACCGTGACATTTCCCTCTCTCCGAGCTCGGCTGTTTGTGTAAAGGCTGCGTCTAGCCGCAGAAGGGACTGTTGAGTTTTGCAGTTTAGTGGAAGTTTTGAATAGTCACTGATTTCCATATACACATCCAGAAAGTGTTTAGGTAGTATTAGTGACTAAACACATACACAAATCACCGCTTTCCTGCTCGTTACACAGTCTTTATGTGCAGTGTCAGAGCGTGTGTAGTTTCAGAGCAGCTGGGACAAAAGCAAAGCGGGATTCGTGTTGCACTTAAATGCATGTGTTTCTGTAACTTGATGGGCAGATTGAGTCTGCATTGGCACCTTTACGCAGTCCATAGAAAATCCGAGCTGCTCTGCCAGCTCATGCCATAGAGACTCGTTTTGGGCTTTAATGAATTTTACATGGGCTTCAGTCAATGCTGTGTTCTCTTTCAAGGTGAGGCGAGAATAGGCTATCTCGTGTCAGCCTGCAGTTGCACAGCTGTGTTGTTTTTGAAAATCTCTTTAAAATGATAATTCAGTGCGAGTTGCTCTAGCTGAGCGTTAACAGAATATGCTCTTGGAATATGTAGTACTTTGAACTCTTTGGGTGTTTTTAGTAATTTGCCTGCATATGACGGGTTGTTTGGGTATTTTTGATCATATTTGTATCTTGCGTTAAGAAAAGATGCCTCCGTATTTGTGAGCTGTTAACGCGTAACGTGTCCATTTTTATTACTAAATTTAGTTAAAAACTTATGCAAACGTTTAAGGGAGTGTGTATATCTAATGTGTTTTCCACCATTTTAATAACCTTTCTAGGATATTTTAAAAGTGCAAAAATATTTCATGTTTCTCTAATTCTGTGCATGCTAATTACGCAAGAATTTGCAACAACAATTTGTTTAAAACCATTTTAGATGTATAACCCTTGTACATTTGTGTAGCGTATATAACAAGTCTATATGATGTATTCTGCTCTCTGAGTATTGAATAAGGAAAGGATTTTCAAATAATCGTTAGCATTTTTATATATGTTTAATGATCAAAAGTTGGATAACAAATGAAGTGTATCAGTAACTGAAGTGATTGAGAGATACTCGAGTAGCTTTTAAGCTTAACATGCTCCTTGGCTTGTCCTTTTTTGCCTACAAGGAATTTGGAGACATTTTTATTGAATGATCCTAAAATGATTTTCTTTATCCTTAGGCAATTTTGGATGGAAGACTCATAGATCATGTTGGCTAGTCAAGCTTTTTACAACCATAATGTCTCTTGAGCTTTTGTTTGTGTTGGGTAAAGTTTAAGATTTCTGTATCATGCATTATGCTGGTTGAATATTGAATTATATGGAAAGGATGTTAAATGATACTATGTAAGTTTCCATTCTTAATCTCAGTTATTTTATTTTTTTTTAAGATTATTGAGATTGGATTGATATCAAATTTATCTCAGTGACTTGTGATTCAGTGATACTTGGATTGTCAAATTGCTTTCAAACTTAACACAATCCTTGGCTTGTCCTTTTTTGCCCACACAGAACTTGGAGAGATTTTTATGAATGATCATACAATGTTTTTCTTCATCATGAGGCCTTTTTTAATATTGGATTGAAGGCTCGCAGATCAAGTAGTTTGATAATGGCTGTAAAAAGCTTGATTTTAAACTCGAGTCTCTTGAGCTTTTGTTTGTCCTCCTTCTCTCTTTCTGTTTCTCGTGCAGACTGTGGTGTAAAAGTTTAAAAACAGGACAAATATATGCCTCAATATCACCCATAACTCAGCTCGCTGAGTCCCCACATCCATGACCCAATTAGCATTGAATTGTGAGTTGAAGATGAGTTTGGTTCTGTCCCAAGAACATTATAAATGTCTGAGATAATTTGCAAATGAGTGTTGGGCCTGGGGTGGCTCTTATGCTGAGACCTTTTTTTTTATGGGTGTAACGGAAAGTGGGACAAGACTTGGATTATGTTTCAATAGAGCCGGAGAAGAACCCAGAATCCCATTAGATTAATGACTTCAAATGACCAGGCTCCTTTCTTTAGCCTCATCTCCCTAAAGCTGGTATTAATTTCACTCCTGTATCTTAATTGCATGCATATAGTATTACTCGCTCACTAGTTCAGAATGACCTTTGGAAAGACTATTTAACTGAACTTGCAGCCTAGGTCTGTAACTTTGTAATCACATGAACGTTTTTGTAATGTTAGTGCCCGTTAAAAGCCTTGTTGTGTCCAAGAAATGCACCCTTTTTTGCGTAGATAATGCGAAAGTGCTTTTTTGCTGCAGTGCAGTCCACTGAATCTACTGTCACTTTCCACTAAAGAACAGAACAGAATATAGGGGATCTGTTCTGTTCTGTTCTTTAGTGGAAAGTGACAGAACAGAACAGAACAGAATATAGGGGATCTGATTTTTTTTCAGTCCATTTAATCTTCAGGGAGCTGAGTCAGGTCCTGTGCAGCTCTGGGAAATCAGAGAGGGATGTCGACAAGGAGGGAATTCTGTAGCTTGATCGAGCCATGCAATGAAGGAAGCACTCCAAGAATGCTTGAGGAGATGAAGAGTTCTTCAAACCAATAGTTATGAAGACAGCAGAAGTAATAATAGCAATAACACCACCAGTAATAATATGAATCCTGTATTTTTTTTTCCTGAAGAACTGACTGTAAGTGTTAAAAGAAGTATTTCAGTGTTGGAATGAAAATGACTGAGGCCGCTGTATACTCCAGTCCAGTACACTGTAAAAATGATTGTTCAAAGTTGTAAATAAAACACAAGGAATTTTACACTTGAAATAGTTAGCCCTGGGTCATTCTAAACCCTGACTAAACAGAATATCGGGTTATCTTGTTTCATGTTTCATACTGCTCATACTCAGGGTTAACATAATCCTGGACATTCATAAGTTGATATTTCACATTGTATATTACTAAACCCCAGGTTAACGTTCTAATTTGCATATCCACAGTGTCAGTGCCATTGAATTGACAGACGCAGTACATGTTTGCATAAAGGCTCTAGCGTTGCGCATCTGCATATTATATATTGCCAACTGTACTATCACGTTTTCCATAATGGACTTTTCGAACTATAAAGGTAAGAATGAAACGGTCTCCATTTAACACAAATTCACATGTTTTCCATGACCATTTGACATTTTCCCCTCAAACTCTGAAATGACTGCTTATATGTTTAGCAGTGTTTCAGTGACCGACCAAGGCACACGATTGGCTGTTGGTTGCTAATCATCTAGCCGTAACATAACATAAAAAGCGCTTCTAAATTACAAGTGTGTTTAACTTCACCCAGGGTTAAGCACAGTTTGAAAAATTTCACGTTTAATATGTTAGTTGCAGATTCTTTGTGAAATTTACTGGCAATTTTTAAGTGAAAAATTTTCTACACCAAATATTTTTTAGTGTAGAGATTTTTTTTTTTTCAACATTCAAGCTACCAAGACAAATACTCACAGTCTCCAGTTGTCAGTTTAGTATGTTTGAAAGACTGTTGTTGTAGCTTTGATCAAGTGCGCTGTCTGAAGCCATGAGAACGAGCCCAGAGCGGTAAATAATCTGCTTCATGTACCCATGCAGAGCCTCTTTTTGCCCTCACTTCACTGAGTCAAGAGGCAGAGGCAACCGGACGGTCATCCAGTCTTCCTCTGGTCTTTAACAACAGATCAGTATGCTGAGCCTAAATAGCTCTTGTTATTAATAAAAAGGGATGCTGCAGGGATCGTTGCATGGCAGGGGTCAAGAGGTGCAAGTATTAATGCCATGCTAGTTTAATATCAGATCAGTTCTGAGCTGATTGCCAGCCCAGCAGAGATATAAGCGTAAAGCGTCCTTCATCTGCAAGCCTGTGGGGCTTCAATTAGCTTTGTTATCTTCACAGGTTAGGGCATTGAAGAGAGCAATCTTTTCTTTTTTTTATCGAGTGGATGATGAATTATGAATGGTTATGTAATTTAAGAGTGGGAGTTTGCGGTTCTTTTCACAAGCGTGTACTAAGATAAGTGATAATGATGAAGTCTATTAAGGATTCTTTTGGATATACATAGCTATTATTTGTAGTTAAACTATAAATGTGGATTTGTTAGCTTGATCAGACCTTTTGACAAAGGCTGATTTTTAGGTTACATGCTTAACCCCCCCCCCAGCAAATCTTTTGCCAGCAAATCTCACCTGGTTTGAACCCCATTAGATGGATTCTTTCTACATGCCACAAGATATCATGTCTCTTTCTAATGCGATCTATCTCTCCACACAGCTGTGGATTACAAAAAATTGCATCGCCTTTCTATCTGTTTATTTTTTTATGTAATTATCTCTCCACACAAATGTTGGAAATTATGCGAATGTGAAAATAATGCATAACTGGTGCCTGTTGCATTTCCACATTAAATACACATTAAACTCACAGCACATGTAGCGTAGGGATGGGTACCGAAACCTAGTATTTAATCGGTCCCGGGGCTAAATTATGAAAGACCGGAGTATCGATAAGCTCTGACGTTAACGGTTCTGCTATCGGTACTAGAGAAATTAAGAAAACATACATTTATTTTTGCTATATGTACATTATCTTGCAAATTCTATCTCACCAGAGTCGCCAGCTGTTTTTATTTGCAATGATATTCAAACATTTGTCTATGATGCATTTTTGCTATTCGCAATTCAGAAGCGAGATCGCGCTCATGCGGAGTAGCTTCAGCACGCGCAACATGAAAGCCCTGCTTAATTATGATAGAGGAGAGAACTAAACATTCAAACGTCTGCTTACACTTTAGGCCTGTGGCTGTTTTGTTAAGCTAATTTAATTTATTTTATTTCAATTT